TCAAGTCGTTTTACGTTTTATTATTTGTATGATGAATATGTCATTTTTTTATCTGATACTTTGAGGATCTTTCTCATTTTTTCCATATTCTTGAAACCTTTTTCGATTATCTTCAAGCGTTTATATACTTAATTAAACAGTTATTTTCGAACGTTTTCAGTTGCTTTAAACTGTTTTCTCAAAAATCAGATATAGAAATTTTCTGGAGCAGTGTCTATGTTATTTCAAAACGCGTTTTCTATTTTAGGCAGTTGCATAGATGATTCTCTTGTCGTAAAAATGTGTCCAGTTCTTTACATTGTACATTTTTCACACTGTCTTTTTTATCTGTCAACAAACTGTACCAATAAGTTTCGAAATAAAATGGTAAATTTGTGTTGTATTAAAACAACTAAATAATATAGTATTTACATTATATTGAAATGTCCAGTTCTGCTTAAATCGGTATCCAATTATTTGCCCACTGCATATTCCTTTCCATTTCTAACTCAAAGCATCCACATTTGTGCGTATCAAACCCATATAACTAAGATACCAAAATACTTTTTTGTTTCTGCGATACTTCCTTTCAATTTCTAAAGAATATGAGCAAGGCAGATATCGTACAATATTGAAAAAATATGTATAATCATGTGGAGCCAAACTGCGACTCGTCGAATCAGAAGATTGCATACAAAAGATGTTGCCTTATTTAGAATATTCTAAACATCGGGTTTTAGTGGTCAATTGTGAAGTTTATACATTTAAAGATTTTTAAAGCAATTTGTACTTTACTTAAAGAAAGAAACTGTGTTGTATTATAAATTTGGTTGCCTGCTATAATGATAATCCTTTTATATGGAGATCAACTTGTGTAAGCTGTTTGATGTCCTGCTGTGCCGGTGGGAATGTATTAGGAGATGCTTTCATTAGATGCGGTCATTTCCTTGTTGACTTTGTTTTTTATAATTTACAATATTTTATACTAGGTTTTTAAACCTTGTAAAAAATACACAATAACAAATAAGTCTATGTTATGTACAGAAAACATATTTTGTTTATCCTGCCATAAATATGATGAAACAAATAGTCTTGAGATATTCAGTTTTTAAACATTCTTGAGCGCTAGGTTTGGACAATGATACGGATTTTATAAATGAAAGATAATATAAAGAGTATGTATAAATATTATGAGTAAATTGATACATAGATATAAGCATTGAGAAAAACCAAAATCAATTCTAGTTAATACCAACAGAAATAACCCTTGTTTAAGCTTTTCTTTGAAATACGAATGTATTGAAAATGCAGGAAGTCATGTTTGGCAAGATCAAAATTATACCTGGGAAATACTTAATACGTTAAAGGGTTGAATACTGTTACATTCTTATTTTTAACGCTTTTGTTCTATTTAAAAAAACTATATTAATTTATTTTGCTGTACCATTTATGTGGTAGTCATGCCAAGTAAGTTAAAAATATATCGTATAATTAAAAAGTTGGTCTAGTGGTTAAAATGTCTACCTCTCAACATCCATCAAGGTCGTGATCTTCTCGAACTATTACTATGTTTCATCGTATGAAACTAGTGCTGGTTAATTAAAAGATGCAGCGGTGAAAGGAGTTAGATCCGGAAAGTTAACTTCAGGGACTAGTATAAATTGCAAATAATTTTGTCTCCTGAATAGATCAACCTGTTTCTGCGATATACGCGCACTTTTATTGTTGTTTAATGCATGTTTGTCTTATGTTATCGTTAAAGTAAAAAGATCCTGCCCGAAACATTGGTATCGTTTAGGTGTACGTTTTCCATTGCTTATATTTTGCACAAAATTTTAGGAACATCACGGAAGCGGGTTATATTATTGTGACTGACATATTTTTAAGACTATTTCCCAAAACTAAAGCCGAAGTATGTATGTTTGTGTCACAATAGGTAATTTTGATTAACATAGTCTGTTACATAAATGATTTTTTACAGGACATGTTGAGCACTTGTGTAAAATCTCCATTGCTTCAGTACATTTTGCTATTGAAATAGTAACGTCCAGTTTACTAAAAGATACTTAAAAGTGGATCCAATAAATGTACAAATTAAATTACTCGCGAAACAATAATCATTTAAGCATTACCTAAAATTTAGCATAAATCAATACGTTTGTTCATTTTAAGGATGAGAAATACGTCTTATTTGTCCATTCAAGAGAGAAATACTTTGAAATGAAGAATTGACATTCAATGCTTCACTGTCTCCGTTATTTATAAGAAATTCACAGAAGCATGCTGTTATTTGATCAAATAAAATAGTTGAAATGACTTTGATATATAAACTTAAACACCTTTATCAATATATATATGGTCTAGATAATCAGAAAAAAGAGACACCTCACAAAAACAACTGGAATAATTCTAATTTGTGTCACTGACATTTGATGCAGGATGATAGATTTTACAAACCAACGATAACTTAAGACAAAAGTAAAATACAAGGAAATGTAAAGAATGGCCCTTCCATAAAGGAGTCAAGTATCAGATAAAATATTATTAAGTGCGACCAAAAAACGTGTTGGAGCACCACACATTGTGAAAACAATTATTAAATAAATGTTAAGGAAAATGTATTTAAGATGAGAGAGACTTGTATTTTATACAATTACACCAAAGGTAGATTTTGAAATGATAATGGGTATACTGAAAAGGTTTATGTTTTAATGTCTATAAACAAGATGATGGAAACTTAATCCAGTTAAAGCAATAGTTTATCAAATTGTTTTGTAAAATAATATCATTTCTGTCATGTACGATTTCAGTCATGTGTTTGACAATAAAACTGAATTTCAAAAACGATTTATAATAGGAGGGTTTCCTGTTTATAAAACTGGAGTAGACTTCTCATTTGAATTGAAGTTGACGCGCATGCCAGCTAATTTGGAAAATGTTATTTTCTCGGAGACGGGATGGTATGAGGAGAATAGTTCTCACATGTTTTTTTCTTTTTTTGTATTGATTAAAGTTTTAAAGCTTATGTATAGAAGATGCATGCCTTTTTTGGGTTTAAAGTTTGTCATTGTTATTGCTGTTTCTACTGTTGTTGTTGTTGTTTTTGTCCTAGACGGTTTGTTTGTATTCTTAAAAGAATCAGACATTTTTGCGTTTGCAGGTTCTTTTAGGGAATAGCAATGTTTGGTGTATCTTTGTCGATTGAACATCTTCCCATGCTCCCTGATAAAAACAAATATACGTTTATTGAAATGCATTCGGAAAAATAAATTAAACAAACACTTCAACAATGCAATCAAATTTATCCCTGAAACATTAACATGTTTTAAACAAACACACATACAAACAAAAAATAAATGTTTGCTGTAATTTTGTACTTATTTAGTCTAATTATACGTAAAAAACATGTGTGTTATAGATAAATGTGTAGATTAACCTTCTTATTATTTAATATTGTATAATATTATAAGGTAGGCAGCCAACATAGCTCAATCGGTTAGAGCGTGAGACTTGTAACCTCGACATTGTGGGTTCGATTCCCGCGTTGGCAAACTAAAATACTAATCAGTCTTTCGGATGAGACTTTAAATCGAGGTCACGTGTATGAGTGCTTTAACACTTGGCACGTTAAAGAACCAGCAGAAGCTTCTGGAAATGGGACATCTTTCTGTATCTTGCAATATCCTCCAATATATATAATGACTATTACTCTTCTGTCGTACTCCCCATGTGGGCAACCGTTGGCGAGTATAAATAAACTCAAATTTTTAACGAGCACAATATCATAAAGTTGTCAGACCTTTCAAATCGCTTATATTATTTTACAAAACATTAGCCTTTTTATATTATTAGCCTTATTTAAGAATCTATCTAGTAAATAGTAAGTAGATTTCATTCCTTTCAATGCATGTATTATTATATTTGATATTTACGAGTATTAATATAATTGATATAAACTATTTTTGTTGACAATTTGTATATGTGTGTACAAACTACAAACAATGATAAAAACCGAGTAAATAACGCATCTGACTAGGAATTGCTGGTCGCGTGGGTTGAAACCCGGTCAAAGACAAGTCGTTGTTTTGTTCTATTCTCAAATCTTAAGCTTCCATCAAAACCAAACAAAAATACGTTTTGAATGATAATCTTAAGAATGTTTAAGTAATAGCAATCACATCATTTTGCTGATCTAATATTGTAACTCATAAACATAAGCGAGTAAGCTTACCGGAAATCTATTTCCATCAGACTGATTGCACTGCATTGATATTGGTGACGTCATATACATTGTCTTTAGCAAGAGTGTTGTTAGTGGTGTCCATCTAATGGACTGATAATTAGCTCTATCTCCCTGTGTAGGAGAGGTTTTGTCTAAATCCCAACTTGAAAAAAACAATGCAATTTTAAATGTTATGTAATACTCAGCAATTTTAGGAGTATGGTAACATAACTTAAAGACTTTAAAGTTGAATAGACTTAAAAACCGTGAATTGTAAACAATCAATTTCTTCTCGTTGAAACTGGTCTATTTTGCATAGAAATGATTCGAATATTCAAATTAGTCCTAACGATAGGTAATTGACCCAAAACATTTTTAAAAGAATCGCAAATATCACATCAAATGATCTTTCTTATTTGTTTATTATTATTATTATCATTATTATTATTATTATTATTATTATTATTATTATTATTATTATTATTATTATTATTATTATTATTATTCAGCTTCAACACATGTTATCAAATAACAAGTGTTGCAATAAAACAGTTAATTGTTCTCTCATATCACCTTTTTGTTCAGCACACACATTTGACTGTTGTTGCTATCCATATCAAATATTCAAACACTAATACGTAAAATAATTATAGTATTTACTTGTTCATAAAGGAAAAGAACTCCTTCAAAGCTCGTGAAGAAACAGAGCTTTTGCACACTTCAAGGTTGGTAGATGGGTAATAGTGCACATAATTCACGCACATTTCATCTGTAATAGCGAAACCGCCCTGAAATATGGAAGGCCAAAACATAAAAAGATCAATTACTAATATTCTACTCTTTATTTCAGAGAGAAAAAATTATACTGGTTTTAAAAAAGCATAAAATCGTCAAAATAACACCGAAATAAAACACAAAATTGATTCTTCTTAGAGTATGGTTTTAAATTTATCCATCTAAAGAGTACGTTGAATATGATAGTAGCAAAATGACCTTCCTTACCCTTGAAGATATAGATAACCCCTTATACCCCTCTCAAAAAAAATGTCAAGACCGCTCCTTTTCCATCCCTTGATTTTTGATAAATTATATATGTGCAATCTGACTAAAGGCCATAGTTACCAAATTTACTAAACTTATTTCTTACATGTAGATCTGATTGCCACTTTATTTGTTTCGCTTTCATTGTGAACCGTATTTTTCGAGGAAGCTGATTTAAGCCATGCAATCAATCCGTCCTTTACAGATATGCATAAGGCGAAGTACTAGTATCAAACTATTATTTTGTTCATTATAAAGGTATACCTACTATGGTAGCATTTTCTCTGTCCGTTGTTCTGTCTTCACATGTTGTAACAAGAGCATCACCCTGAAGGTGACAAACAAAGGCTAATAGTATAAAAAGCTCAAGTTGATTATCTGTATTCATAACCATACTAAAGGTTCTGAATAAAAGAAATATGTTGCTATACAGCGGTTACATAATGAGACATAAAAGTACGGTGGAAAAAAGTGACCTTTGCATTTTTTAATTTATTCATTTTATTTTATTTTTTATCTTTTCATTTTTTATACTTATTTTTTTTTAATTTATTTTTATACATATTTTTTCCTACATACTTTTTTAGTTTTGCAAACATGTTTTATTTTAGTTTTGGATACATGTTTTTTTTTTAGTTTTGCATACATATTTTCTTTAGTTTTTCATGCATATTTAATTTTAAAACCGCTCATTATAGCCCATAGCACAGTGGTTTGGTCACGTTTTGGCCCACCTTTGGTTTTGGCCGACCCATTTCGGTCCACATTTTTAATTATATGGATTTTACATAATAATTGTTTATTTATTATTCGTACATATTTTTTTTTTAGTTTCGCAGACATATTTTAATTTAGTTTTGCATACATATTTTTTTAGTTTTACATACTGTATAAGTACTTATTTTGGCGGGGGTTTATATTTGGCTATATTGGCGGTCAGGGTCAGTAGCGCCAATTCAAAACACCGCCAATTTAAAGCACCGCCATTTTAGATCATCGCCATTATTCTTTGAAAGGTAGACAACTCATGGTGAAATAGCTTTGGTTTGTCCGAGTAATCTCCCTTGATTATTTGTAATAAAAATAAACATTACAAGTAAGCTGAAAAGAATTTGTTTATCTTTAAGTCTTGGTACGAAACTCATTTAATTATATACCTATATACTGTATTTATTACGAAGATGATCACACGACGAGAAACAAATCTAAATGTCATTTATTATCGAATTTAAGTAAACTAGTATTTGTTTTGTTTTCACTGTTATGTTTCATAATTTGAAATAAAACTAATGGTAACTGTAATTATATAGCAATCAGTTGTGGTGACCGTGAACAATTTTTCACGCTTTAAAGACTGCAGGATAATAGGGCATACCTTTCTCTTCCATGGTCCAGTTACCACACGGTACCATATTTACACCTGTCTGATCCCAGTTATTTATAAGAATTAGCACGATGTAAAGATAAAGGTGACCAAGGATAGGTATACCGTATGCCGTAAAATAAACGAGGACAGTCAACTACTGCGTGACCGGTGTTATTCTTATTTACTTTTTTTTATTCTTTATTTGTAATCGCCAATTCATGACCCCATATTTATGCCAACAAGTGTTTTAATTTGGCGGTCTAAAAGCGTTTGCGCCAGTTTATGACACCGCCAATTCAAAACACTTTAAAAAACGCCAACATTTGACACCGCAGATATAATGCGCTATACAGTATTTTATTTAAGTGTTTCGTACATATTTTATCTTTCTTTTTCGTACATATTTTTTTGCATATCAAAACAGCCTTTACATCTCATAACAGCCCATAAGTGTGAATAAAACACGATTACAATAGCGGCACTTTTGTTTGGTCCCTTTTCGGCCTATTTTTGGAATCAGCCCATTCGTTTGCGGCCCAGACTGGTTTCGGCCGACTCTTTTCAACCCACTTTTTTAAATTACATGTTTTTTACATGATTAGGGCTGTTGAACTGTTATTATTCCATGAAAATGCACCACGCAACCCTACCTTCTAAGAATAGCAGGGTGGGGGTCATACCTACAGGTCAAAGGGTTGAGACTTGGATTTCATGTCAGCTCTATATCTCCTATACCAAATGAAGGATTTTCATGCACCTTGTGTCAAATGTTAACCACACCAATACCACATACAGACCCTTTCCTTTGGTTACGGCGGACTAAATATAGACTAAAAAGTGTTGTCATGTTTCATCTTTTGTTGCTTGTTCTATTTTGATACCTCCAAAAATAAAAATGTTGATATTTGCAAATGACGTTGGCAAATGAGGTACTGTAATTTACAGATGGCAAAGTGTTTGAAAATGGTGTTTACAAATAGCGTGAATATCAACTTTGCAAATGTTTTTTCGTCATGTTTACATTGGCGCAACTAACCAAACCCCCTACTTTCAGTTATGGGTTGTTATGAGATGTAACGGCTGTTTTGATTGGCTAAAAAATGTACAAAATATGTAAGGAAAAGATTCAATCCATTATCTAATGAAAGTCAGTTGCGTCAAAAACTTCAGAGATAATCTTTGTTATATTGTGGCACAGAGGTGACATGTGCACATTTTATATATACTGCGTAGGAACGAGATATTTATATCGTTGAAACAAGAGATATTAGCTCTTGCCAACTAAAAATGTTCCTGTTAAAAAAGGTGCTGTCACCTCTGCGCCACCGTAGTTATAACGCATTACTTTTTTCTCTTTAAAATAATAGGTTTTGATTTGAAAGTAATTTATAACCAACAGATATAGACATGTTTCTCTATATAAAACCAAATTCATTTAACGGAAATCATCCAGGCATCATAAATATATCATTAATGATTATATAATAATCCTTATTATCATTATCATCAATTTTATAATTATAACAATAATAATCATAATTGTACTGATTATAATAAACAAAGATTACACAAATAACACATCACGTGCCTTCAGTATTGGCTTCTATTTTCACAAAAACAATCGAAAACATAATAATGATTTTAAATGAAAATGGACATGTAAATTTCCCAGACTTTGATCTAATATTATTGATAAAAAGATTCAAAACATCGAATGGTAAAAACTTACTGGCAAAACTTTCACAGGAGTCGGAAGTCTCCGAATTTCCTGAAAGTGTGGACTATAATGGTTGTCTCGATTTAATTCCGGAAGTTCGACGCCATTACGCACGTGCTTTGTGTAAACGCGGCGTCCTGTCAAATGGGTGTGCAGCTGAGATGCATAGATGAAAATGCCCTCTGGTGGCAACCCCTGAAGAAAACCATCCATTAAATTGCGAAATAAACCGTACTCAAAAGTAGGTAAAGAATTACCAATCATCTAATTAATGTGTATATATTCAGCTTGCAATTGTTTACGAAACAATATTTGCATTTACATATACACAATACTACTCAATAAAATTTATTGACGCGGGTGGCTTAAAAACATGAATTTTGGACACAGTGCATGTGGAAATACTATTAGTAACTGTAAATGTGGAAGGATTTCCTTCAAATAAATTGCATACCATCCTCGACATAGAAAATCTTTCCGCCGGATCTTGCTAACTTTATTTGAAGTACCGCTTATTTTTTACAATCTTTTCCCGGCTAATTAGGTAAAATTATTAGTGCATTTTGTTAAAGGCACATGATGCCTCGAAATCAATAATTTTCTTAATTATCTAGAAAAGTCAAATATGTGTTCAATAATATTTTAATGATTAATTTAGAGTATTTAAGATGATAGATAACTGTAGAAAGTAGCACTGAACAGGCAGTAATTTGTTGTAAAAGTAGCAAAATTTGAACAAAATAGTATTTTGAATTCCATACAAAAAACTTAATTAATATATTAAGAGGCTTTATCTTATAAAGCCAATGTACAAATATTTGAAAACTGTCGCAAGATAAGTAAAAAAATATTTTTGAAAAATAAAAATAATCGCATTTCCGAAGCTTAATTGGCCTTTAAAGAAACTTTCATCAGCTTAATGTGTCACGTATTTCCAGTATAACTCAAAGTGCTTGCTTTTAGCGTTTTATACATTTTTTTAGACAATTCATTCAGTATTAAAAAAGATATTGACTAAATTATTATCAAAATTGATTTAAGTGTTTGTACTTTGTCCAAAGGTTACATGGATTCCCCACCCTCTTAGTTATAACATGACCTCTTTTTTACGGATTTAACTCAATACAGGATTAGAGCAATACCTCCAGACGCTTTCAGAAGTTATGGTCACACAATAGACAAATATCGTTTGTTTGTTTTTTCGCCGATGTTTACATTTTTCATTCGATGCCATAAATAAATCGGTGTGAAAAGATGAATTAAACCTGTTAAAGTTCATTCCGTTGGATAAAAATGCAAGAGTTAAGCATTTTATCATTCTATTTCAAGCTCCTTGTCCGGTATATACTGGAATACGTTATTTTACGGTTATTGACGGTGTTCCAATCCTTTTGTTAGTCCCACTCTTTTTTTTTACAACGATGATCACATATAATGATACAATTACAACAAATAAGTTCAAGAGTGACAAAAGATTTGAGGTGAAATCAAAAGAGCTTGTTTATGCACTAAGCAGTAAGTTCAAATGTATGCCAATTCCTGTAATATTGTCCGAAACATTTAACTATGAAAAACATTTTAAAGAATTATCTTTGACTGAGGTTTTACCATCTCAAATTCAATGAATCAAAGAATGCAAACTATTCATTTGAAACTTAGCAAATGTGTAAATTAAAAAATAGAAGAAGATCTAGTACATGTAGTAAGGCGTGGATTTTAATCGACTTTTGTTTAATCTGACAGACTTGAAAATATCAACTCTCTTAAGAGAGGTTACACAGCGTTGACAGTTCTGTATAAATTCTCGTTCGAGCATGAAAGAATAATCAGAGGGACACCTGGCTCGTTTTTTTTTACAATGAAAGCGGAAAATTTTTCCGTATGACCATAAAAGTACCAGCGTAATGTACAGCAAAAACAGGAAACAGTTTCAATTTTTTCTTCTGAGAAACATTCAAACTATATCAATGCTTTACCTTTTTCGTACATTCCGCGATACAATAGCCGGTCAAAGAGAAGTTGTCTTGCCTTGGGGGAATAGCCATCTTATTTGTATATTCTAAACCTAGCTCCATAATTCCAGCGTCATTATGACGTAACGATGACGTCACATAGAAACGAATACCTGAAGCGTCTATCATACCTAGAAATAACATGAATTTATATGATTCATAGCAAAACTTTGCATTGAAATCAATAAGCTATAAATACAAGTATTTTTCTAGAAATATTGTCAATACTGAGTAATTAACTAATGAATACTTACAAAACACCAACTTAGTTATAGTTTGTACCTAACATTGTGTCTATTAAAAAACTGAGTGAAAATTCTAATAAATATATGTACAACAAATTTAATATTAAATTTTGATAAAATACATTAGGTAATAATAGATATTACAAGAACCTGCTTCAGGCTTTGTTACAGGTGCATGTACATGAACAGAACAAATACATGCATTTTATTTCTGACTTGAACTCATTACCCATCAATGCCATCATCATAACAAACATATAATATATGTATATTTATCACAATGCATGCATCAAAAATGTTATTATCAATCCAATCAGTTAAATTCCTTTATAATGAAATATATGATTTAGATGATTTAATTAACTGAGAACGTCTGAAATAGATTGCTAAATAAATGCGTTAACATTTTGATACGCTAATATTCTGTATTGTCTCGTTTATTTGACTTTTGAACACTTTCATACAATATATTGCATTTTCTTGTAACCAGTTGCCTGTCTGTATTCAACAATTTTATGAATTTGTAAATGCTTAGATTCACAGTGTAGTATCTTGAAATATACGGACTTCTAAACTCGTTTTGAGTCTAACACATTGATATCAAGTGAAATTCATCCTCTATATCACAAGACATACATAGTGTGCATTTTCTTTGACTTTTTTAAATACCAGAGTTTAAATTATAACTCTTATTATTTTTTACTAATCTGTATTTTGCATTTTCTTACACTAGATATTTCGTAGTTTATTTAAATGTTTAGGTAAAATTGTAAGGAAGAGCATATTGCGTAAATTATACGTTTGTATATATTCATGCGCTCGTATATTGCTGCGACGTGATCTGAATACTGGTATATTAAGAGATTAACAGGTTTGGTCAATATTTTTATTTTTGACATGTCTGCATGCTTCGTGGCTCTAGCTTATAAGCCTGGCAGCATGGTCTGGTAAGAATGATTAGGGAAAAAACCATACAATCTTTATATAAAATTGTGTTATTAAATTTATTTGTGATGTTCTCACCTGCTATTTTATCTGGATTGTTATAATGAATTTCCAACAGAACATATCGTGAAAAATCAGCGCCACCTAGCGGGAATCCCGCTTCTTCGGGTAATATCATTGCCTGAATTGGTATAAAAAATTATATACATGTCGTTTGCGTGAAAAACCATACTGTGAAATATTATTGAATTCATATTTTCTTACACTGGAACCTAATATCTAACAGGAAATAATCAAATCGAATTGAAAAATATAACATAGGTAAAATTCATTATGAAGCCTAACTGAACAAAAGAAAATAATAAGGATGGTTACACAGCACGTGTGAATAGGATTGCTTTTTATTTTTAAATTAAATGTGAATATTTCATTTTATAACGAGTATCAAAATGGCATGAGATGAATTGTAAATGTCTATTAACATGATATGCCTAAACTAGACAAATTGTTTTTTCTACGTAAAACGTCAATGTATATCCATTATTATTATCATTACATCAAACATTTTGCATTTACGGGGGTCGAACGTAAAGCGGTGCGATACTGTTTCAGCGTTGTGAAATGGTGCGATAGAGGAAAAGGGACGGAGGAATAGATAAGAATAGGTTTGCTTCAAATATGTGTTGTATGTTGCAATTTGTGTTCGAATAATATAGTACATGCGGATGGAAGATATATTTGTATATGATGGTCAAAATAAAAGAATCTATTTCATTGTAAGGATAATGTTTTGAGGTTTTTGTTTCTTTAAAAGTCACCGGCATTCTGATCAACAAGTGTAAATATGAGTGAATTAACATACATGTATATAGCATTTTAATTAAAATATATATGCGAATAACAATCACGGCATTTCACATTGAAACTGCAAACTATACAAAATGGATATACAGTGTACACATTATCTCTCTAGTATTCATGTTTACTATTGTTTAAGATGTTTGTTTGAAATAAATTGTCAAAACTATCGAGTTCTTTCTTTTGATAAACTAAGCAACATGCTGTTGGTTTGTCCTAAAACTAACAAAGGTCCTATCAGTCTCAACCTTGTAACGCATTTTGACAGGCTGCACTCCAATTTTCGTTTCCTTTCTCCAAAATGCCTCAAAATTTCTTTCTTATTTGTTTTCCTCGTACATCAAGTTATTGACTTCTGAAATACATTATAATGTGAAAAGTTAAGAGGGATAAAATTCAGTTATGATAAATAGTTTACCATTTTATGCGGGGAAGTTCTAGTGTCAGACATGAACAATGGTAGTAAAATATAGATTGTCAAATCATTCTTTTTTTTTTTGTTTTGCACTCTGATAAACTGCAAAGAATTCGAAGTAATTTTTCAGTAATAAAATAGAAAGGAGAGAAAAGCTACAAAGTGGATAAAAACATTTATAACGAAAATCAGAGATCAAAGGGAAGACAATTCTTGTAATAAAGGTGACGGAATTATGTGAAGAAATTTAATTCCAAGTGTCGACTGCATAACCATATATCTTAGCACAGTAGTTTTTGCTATGCAGCTCAATAATGAGTATTAACGTAAGTTATAATTGGTTTTAATCTTATGACTTTGTCACGGACACAAAATCAGTTACTGCCAATTAACATTCAAAAACTTTATTTATCTATTGTACCTAAACTTTTATGATTTTTGAGGAAATACATGTAGATCAGAGCCCCACATCATGCACACAAAATTGCAATTTTTATAGACAATGACTGTTACATTTTTATGAAATATACTCACTCTGACGTGTGTTTACGTGTGTGTAATTAATCCTTAATTATTCCGTATCGCACCATTTCACCTCAATTAATAAGTATCGCGCCGCTATACGTTCGACCCCCTGCTACAGATGTTCATAAAGTTCTACATTAATGTTTACATAAAAGTAGAAGAACAAATGTTGGAATGAAAGCACGCACCCTTGTTGTA